AGGACGTGCAGTGAAATAGTTTAGTTTAAACTTAGTTGATTGTAAAAAAAGTTTTTGCAACATATATTAATCACTTTCGAGCAGTCTGCTTCCTGGAACTAACCAGTACTGGTGTGATATGAGGAAACATGATTGAGACCCAAGTAGGGCTCGAACCAATGATCTCCAGGTTGTGAGACAAACAACCAATAGCCCGCCGCTGCCTATTGTGGCAAATGTAGGTTATGTTGATAAAATATCTTCATATATTGTCAAAATAAACAGTGTGTCTATATATTATATAGTGTGATACCTACATGTCTCTTTCTTAAAAATCAATTTTGCCATTCCTCTGATCCATTGAATCTTACCGGAGACCAGTATTTCTTTCATGTGAAGAAGTTATCAAAGTAGCTTATGATATGCATGTTGTTCAAACCTGGAAACTGAATAATTTGAAATCTAGTCATGTGACATTAATGAAACGTTTGTGTATGTGACATAATCTCAACAAAAACAGATAACATGGACATAAAATTTACTGTAGAATATCTGATAAAACTGGGGTTTCTCTTCATAATATTGTCACATTATAATACCCAATTGAATGATAGATTAATCAACACAATGTATAGAAAATTGATCTATTCAGACTACTATTTCCTCAGAGGGATAATGTTCAACTTTTGACCCTAATGCCATATTACTGGAACATAAGCTCTCAGAAAAATGGCTGATAAATGTCAGGGATTTTTTATTTAACGCATTAGGTGACAGAATTGTATTATATCTGTAAGACACATACAATGTATATATGACTGTGTTTGATAAGGTTTCCCATCACATCAACAGTAAATGAGCCGCGTCACGACAAAACCAACGTTATGCGTTTGCGACCAGCATGGATCCAGACCAGCCAGCGCATCCGTGCAGTCTGATCAGGATCCATGCTGTTCGCATAGAAACCCTATTACAAGTAGAGAAACTGATAGCGAACAGCATGGATCCTGATTAGACTGCGCGGAGGCGCAGTCTGGTCTGGATCCATGCTGGTTGCAAACGCATTACGTTGGTTTTGTCGTGACAAGGCTCAAATGCTTCTTCAGCTAAGACATAGCAGGCATAATACTGTCCACACTGTTAGAATCCCAATTCTCACATAAATCAGTTTGATATATTCCTGATTTAAAACAAGCTGGTGACATTCCATTAATGAACGATTACAACCCTTAGAGAACTTGACGTCAGAAATTCAAAATTTATATCATTTTGAGATACTAACCTTTAAGCAATTTGTGTTCATAGTAGAAAGATGCTTCCCTTATGGTAAAAAGCTGAAAGAAGTACTGGTTAACCCCTTAGCTTGCTAGGGGTAACTGATTCTACCCATGTGACCAGTGCTGATCATCGAGTCTGCACTATTTGCTTTGCAGTTACATTAATGTACACGTTTTGAAATTTACTTTAAAAAATAATTCAAATGGTCTTGTCCAGATTGAAAGACAGATGAGTTCATTTTAAATATTTAGTGGGGTAAGTCTAAAAAAAGTGTTTCAACTTGACTATGGTATTTAAATTTATTACTGTAATGAAAAATCTTCCACTCGAAAAATGGAAAAAGTGAAAACAACAATAATTATGCCCCCATTTCGAAGAAAAGGGGGTATATTGCTTTGCACTTGTCGGTCCGTCGGTCCGTAGACCAAATGGTTTCCGAGTGATAACTAAAGAACCCTTAGGCCTAGGAACTTCAAACTTGGTATGGTGATTGGTCATGACCAGTAGATGACCCCTATTGATTTTGGGGTCAAGGGGTCAAAGGTCAAGGTCACATTGACCTTGTAAGCAAAAACGGTTTCCGATCAATAACTAAAGAACCTTCAGGCCTAGGAACTTCAAACTTGATATGGTGATTGGTCATGATCAGTAGATGATCCCTATTGATTTTGGGGTCAAGGGTCAAAGGTCAAGGTCACATTGACCTTGTAAGCAAAACCGGTTTCCGATCAATAACTAAAGAACTTTAAGGCCTAGGAACTTCAAACTTGGTATGGTGATTGGTCATGATCAGTAGATGACCCCTATTGATTTTGGGGTCAAGGGGTCAAAGGTCAAGGTCACATTGACTTTGTAAGCAAAAATGGTTTCCGATCAATAACTAAAGAACTTTAAGGCCTAGGAACTTCAAACTTGGTATGGTGATTGGTCATGATCAGTAGATGACCCCTGTTGATTTTGGGGTCAAGGGGTCAAAGGTCAAGGTCACATTGACTTTGTAAGCAATAACGGTTTCTGATCAATAACTAAAGAACTTTAAGGCCTAGGAACTTCAAACTTGGTATGGTGATTGGTCATGATCAGTAGATGACCCCTATTGATTTTAGGTCAAGGGTCAATGTCAAGGTCACATTGACCTCTTGGGTAAAAACGGTTTCTGATCAATAACAAAAGAACCCTTAGGCCTAGGAACTTCAAACTTGGTATGGTGATTGGTAATGACCAGCAGATGACCCCTATTGATTTTGGGGTTAAGGGGTCAAAGGTCAAGGTCACATTGACCTTGTAGGTAAAAACGATTTCCGATCAATAACGAAAGAACCCTTAGGCCTAGGAACTTCAAACTTGGTATGGTGATTGGTCATGACCAGCAGATGACCCCTATTGATTTTGGGTTAAGGGGTCAAAGGTCAAGGTCACATTGACTTTGTAGGTAAAAACGGTTTCCAATCAATAACGAAAGAACCCTTAGGCCTAGGAACTTCAAACTTGGTATGGTGATTGGTCATGACCAGCAGATGGACCCCTATTGATTTTGGGGTTAAGGGGTCAAAGGTCAAGGTCACATTGACCTTGTAGGTAAAAAACGGTTTCCGATCAATAACGAAAGAACCTTAGGCCTAGGGACTTCAACTTGATATGGTGATTGGTCATGATCAGTAGATGACCCCTATAGATTTTGGGTCAAGGGGTCAAAGGTAAAGGTCACATTGACCTCTTAGGTAAAAAACGGTTTCCAGATCAATAACTAAAGAACCCTTAGGCCTAGGAACTTCAAACTTGGTAAGATTATTGGTCATGACCAGTAGATGACCCCTATTGATATTGGGGTTAAGGGGTCAAAGGGCAAGGTCACATTGACCTTGTAGGTAAAAATGCTTTCAAATCAATAACTTAAGAACCCTTTGGCCTAGGAACTTCAAACATGGTATGGTGATTGGTCATGACCAGCAGATGACCTATTGATTTTGGGGTCAAGGGGTCAAAGGTCAAGGTCACATTGACCTTGTATGTTAAAACGGTTTCCGATCAATTAACTAAAAACGCTTAGGGTTAGGAACTTCAAACTTTGTATGATGATTGGTCGTGACCAGCAGATGACCCCTATTGAGTTTTGGGTCAAGGGGTTAAAGGTTAAGGTCATGACCAGTAGATACTTGATAACCCTTATTAATTGTTTGATCACTTGGTCAGAAGTCATAATAACCTTATCACATGACTAATTGGCTGCTGATAGGGGGCATACATGTTTTACAAACATATCTTGTTAATTTTTTGCAATGACTGAATTTGTCTTTCAGTTTTTTAAGAAGAAAGTTAAACATTTCTATTAGTGTCTTACCATCATTGTATAACCTTTGGTATAGTTTTAAATTAGTCTTTAGAGTTATTTTCAGTCTGAGATTTATTTTCGTCTTCGATTTATTGTCATTAAAATTCACTGCTTTCCACCAGTAACAACAATTGATAGAAGTAACTCATACAGACTGGCTTGACGTCATAGTCTTGTGAAATTTCCTGGAAATCATTATAACATAATGTCTTCTTGTACAATGATGAGGCCATTTAAATGCTGTGTTGTATCAAATGAAGACATTTAATATAGGAAAAGACGTGTCTTATGGTATAGAATATATATTAAGCGTTAAATTTATTATTGATAGTGGTATATTGTAGTGTTACCAAGATCAATATGGCGGCAAGAGATGTCACGATTTAGGTGTTGCAGCACCATCTGATTTGCCATGTTTATATTATATAACATTTGAGCCGCATCACGACAAAACCATCATAATGGGTTTGCGACCAGCATGGATCCAGACCAGCCTGCGCATTTGCGCAGTCTGATCAGGATCCATGCTGTTCGCTATCAGTTTCTCCACTTGTAATACAGTATGTAAGCGAACAGCATGGATCCTGATCAGACTGCGCGGATGCGCAGGCTGGTCTGGATCCATGCTGGTCGCAAACCCATTATGTTGGTTTTGTTGTGAAGCGGCTCATTTATATTATATAACGTACACAATCACGAGAACTGACATGTGACATTCATGCTGTGAAAAAACAGCATTCTCTGTACTGTATACAGAAATTGTTATTTATGAAATATTCTGGAATGATGATTAAGCTAATTTTTAGCTCAGTAGCTTGCTGTTATTAGTTAATTCTGTGAAGCAATATTTCAATATGTGAGATGTGTCTAAAGGTTATGTTTTATTGAAGGTTTTTTTGTTTCTTGTTTCTGGGCAGGCAGTCCCTCGAAATAGGTCATTTTATTGTTGTAATTTGTAAAATGGGAAATTAAAATGGCTGCCTTTAGTGACTGGTTTTGATATTTATTACCTGTATTTTTTTGTTGCTGACTTGGCACTTTCATAAATTTCCTGAGTACCTTTTGTGAATGCCTGTTGATTACATTGTTGGTTGTTCATGAGTCTGTCTGTCTTTAGCTTATATGGAAGCTCGGTGGTTCTACTCAGGTGCCCGTTTGTACCTGAAATAATGCACGGAAGGGCACCTGAGGTCTTCTTCCACCAGTAAAGCTGGAACTTTGCCATATGACCTATACTGTGTTCAGATGTGACCTAAAGCCCAAACAAACATACAGACAAACAAGCTGTCTTTAATTAACTTTTCATTTAAACAACATCTCCACAGTTCAACTAAATTCATGAGTTCACATGATGTGTTCCTCATTTCATTTCCTCAGAGTAAGTGAACATGATTCTTATTTATGTTTACAGTTATGCAGACAGCATGGAGGGAAAGAAAACCACAGGCAAGAATAAAGGCAGCAAATGATGCCCTAGAGAAAAATTCAGAGTAAGTTCATATATTGTATTGTATATATAGAATGACTGTACAAAGAAATATTTCATGTTCTGTTCATATATTGTTCACTTGTTTTACAGCACACAAAGTTATAGCTGTACATTGAAACATAAATGTTGGCAAAATAGAAATAACGAAAAAAATATTCTGAAATACAGCAATAAAAAGAGGTAAAGGTTTTACATTTACTGTACATCTTGGCTGTAATTTAGAACCAATTTTAAACATATATGTAAGTGTAAAGGCATAAAATGTGATTGATGTACATTGATTGGTCAATGGAGATATTGTTTTTTTTTATTGTACTGTATGTCTGTCCTTCTGCAAACAGCTTTAATATTGGCCATAACATCCTTGAATTTTAAGCTACGTGTTTAACTTTCACAAGTTATAGTTATACCCCCACAAACGAAGTTTAGGGGGGGTATATAGGAGTCTGTTGGTCGGTCGGTCGGTCGGTCCACATCATGGTTTCAGGACGATAACTAGAGTTTGGAATGAGGTATTGTTATCAAACTTGGTATATAGCAACCTTATGTGGAAACTCCGGTTGGTATTGCATTTGAACCCCCTGGGGTCAAGGTCAACGTTACTAAAAATAGAAAAATGGTTTCCGGACAATAACTAGAGTTAGGAATGAGATATTGTTATCAAACTTGGGGTATAGCAAGCTGATATGAAGACCTGGGTTGGTATTGCATTTGGGCCCACTGGGGTCAAGGTCAAGGTCACCGTTACTAAAAATAGAAAAATGGTTTCCGGACAATAACTAGAGTTAGGAATGAGATATTGTTATCAAACTTGGTGTATAGAAAGCTTATATGAAGACCTGGGTTGGTATTGCATTTGGACCCCCTTGGGTCAAGATCACCGTTACTAAAAATAGAAAAATGGTTTCCGGACAATAACTAGAGTTAGGATTGAGATATTGTTATCAAACTTGAGGTATAGCAAGCTGATATGAAGACCTGGGTTGGTATTGCATTTGGGCCCATTGGGGTCAAGGTCAAGGTCACCATTACTAAAAATAGAAAAATGGTTTCCGGACAATAACTAGAGTTCGGAATGAGGTATTGTAATCAAACTTGGTATATAGCAACCTTATGTGGAAACTCCGGTTGGTATTGCATTTGGACCCCCTGGGGTCAAGGTCAAGGTCACCATTACTAAAAATAAAAAAATGTTGTCCGGACAATAACTAGAGTTAGGAATGAGATATTGTTATCAAACTTGGGGTAAAGCAAGCTGATATGAAGACCTGGGTAGGTATTGCATTTGGGCCCACTGGGGTCAAGGTCAAGGTCACCGTTACTAAAAATAGAAAAATGGTTTTCGGACAAAAACTAGAGTTAGGAATGAGATATTGTTATCAAACTTGGTGTATAGCAAGCTTATATGAAGACCTGGGTTGGTATTGCATTTGGACCCCCTGGGGTCAAGGTCAAGGTCACCGTTACTAAAAATAGAAAAATGGTTTCCGGACAATAACTAGAGTTAGGAATGAGATATTGTCATCAAACTTGGTGTATAGCAAGCTTATATGAAGACCTGGGTTGGTACTGCATTTGGACCCCGTGGGGTCAAGGTCACCGTTACTAAGAATAGAAAAATGGTTTTCAGACAGTACCTTGAGTTAGGAATGAGATATTGTAATCAAACTTGGTGTATAGCAAGCTGATATGACAGGGCTTTTTTTCACAGATTGGGGAAGCAGCCCAGCCCTTAATTTTGGGGAAAAATTACACGGTATATTTGCAAAAGGGGAAGAAAAAACTTGATGTAAATTCAATTTTTGGGGAAAACTGCATGATTTTAAAGAAATTTTCTTTGGGGAAGCAGCCCTATACCGGCCCCTGTTATAGAAGGTAAAAAGGCCCTGTATGAAGACCTGGGTTGGTATTGCATTTGGACCCCCTAGGGTCAAGGTCACCTTAACAGTGTTACTAAAAATAGAACAATGGTTTCCGGACAATAACTAGAGTTAGGAATGAGATATTGTAATCAAACTTTGTGAAAAGCAAGCTTATTTGGAGACCCCAGTTGGGATTACAATTAATTGAACTATTTCTTTGTACACAGTTGATAGTTTCTTCAGACTACTTATTTTTCAAAAAGTCAAAGTTGCTGGTGGGGGTATTAATCACCTTCAGTGATAAGTCTAGTTTTGTGAAGTATCAAACTTAAAATACTATTATAACTCTTAACTTTATGAGTAAGTATGTAAATATGCCACTTTGACAGCAAATGAAGTGGGCTTATGAACATATAATTATGGGCACATTAATTTTTATGCCACCACAGCATCTGTGATGTGGTGGCTCAAAGCAATTTACTTATGTGTGGGTTTTCAGCTCGAAAACAGCAAGGACTTTGTGACGTTTGTCTTAGATATTTGGCATGAAACATTATCTTGTGGACCTTTACAAAGATTGTTCAAATGATAACCCCGGGGTTAAAATTGGTCCTACTTGGGGGATCATAGGTCTCCCTTTTTTGTATGTAGGAAACACTATAAAAATCTTTGATTCAACAAATGCAAGAGGTTAGATATTTAGCAAGAAAAATTATCTTGTTGACAAGTACCAAGTTTTCGAAATATAGCCTTGAAGTTAATATTATGCCGTCCCAAGATTCATTATTTTTCCTGATATATATATAGTATAAACTTAATTTTAGCTTGCATTCAAGTTGTTAATACAATATCAAAGTATAAAATGTAGCTTGTTTTAATTTTATAAAATGTGACTTCATATATAAATGTTTGTTGCATGTGGTGAGGGGGCTGATTATGATTATGACTATTGGGCCCCAGGCCATCATGGCCCTCTTGTTTTGAAAGGCCATTCAAAGTCTTCTCCTCTGATTTTGATTATTGAGAGGTGGCGTATTCATATATACAAACAAATGATAAACTTCTTTTGTTCCTGCTAGCTATACAATGCATTTTCTATATGTATTCTTGTTTTTAATTATTTTATTGTATGGCACTATTTCAAGTGAAGTTAGATACTTAACTGTCTAACATTGGCTGGGATTTTTTGATTATGTAAACCCTAGTGACTGGACAGAACAGTTGTAACTGATTTCTATCTGACATTGTATTTCTGCCATTTTATACGTTTCCATTGTATGTCTGCCATTTTATACATTTCCATTGTATTTCTGCCATTGATACATTTCCATTGTATTTCTGCCATTTTATACATTTCCATTGTATTTCTGCCATTTAATACAGTTCCTTTGTATTTCTGCCATTTTTAGCTCGACTTTTCTATGAAAAGGGGAGCTATCCTACTCGCCCCGGCGTCGGCGTCGGCGTTAGCGTCGGCGTTGGCGTCACACCTTGGTTAAGTTTTTCGTACCACCCCACTTTATTTCAGAAGTATTACAAGTATGGCTTTGAAACTTACCATACTTGTTCACCATCATAACCTCCATCTACAGACAAGAGTACATAACTCTGTCAAGGTTTTTGACAGAATTATGGCCCTTTTTTGACTTAGAAAGTGTATTGAGCTTGGTTAAGTTTTTTGTACCACCTCACTTTATTTCAAAACCATTGGAGGTATTGCTTTGAAACTGACCATACTTGTTTACCATCACGACCTTCATCAACAGACAAGAGGACATAACTCTGTCAAGGTTTTTGACAGAATTATGCCCCTTTTTGACTTAGAAAATACATTGAATATGGGTAAAATCCACTTATTGCCTTAACCCTTTGAGATATTGCTTTGAAACTTTTAATGCTATTTCACATCATTACCCCCATCTGTACGCAAGAGAAGGTAACTCTGTCAGGGATTTGTTTTAAAAATTAAGGCCTTTTATCGACTTAGAATCTTGGTTAAGTTTTTTGTACCAGTCAACTTTTTGACTGAACTGGTTGAGATATTAAATTGAAAGTTGGAATACTTGTTTACCATCATGGTCCCAAACATGGGCAGGAGAAGGTAATTCTGTTAAGGATTTTATTTGAATTATGGCCCTTTTTGACTTAGAAACTCAGTTAAAATTTTCATTCTTGTCCACTTGTTGACCTAACCATTTGAGATATTACTTTGGAAGTTGGAGTTCTTATGTGCCATCATGAGACCTATCTGTAAGCAAGAGAAGATAACTCTGTGAAAATGTTTCTTGATTTGTACTTAGAAATTCCTAGTTAAAGTCTTGTGTGCCCTTAACTGTCAAAGTTTTGTTTTATAGGCAAGCACTAAAAAAGTCGAGCGCGCTGTCCTTCTGACAGCTCTTGTATACATTTCCATTGTATTTCTGCCATTTTATACATTTCCATTGTATTTCTGCCATTTTATACATTTCCTTTGTATTTCTGCCATTTTATACATTTCCATTGTATTTCTGCTATTTTATACATTTCTATTGTATTTCTGCTATTTATACATTTCCATTGTATTTCTGCTATTTTATACATTTCAATTGTATCTCTGCTATTTATACATTTCCATTGTATTTCTGCCATTTTATACATTTCCATTGTATTTCTGCTATTTATACATTTCCATTGTATTTCTGCCATTTTATACATTTCCATTGTATTTCTGCCATTTTATACATTTCCATTGTATTTCTGCAATTTATACATTTCCATTGTATTTCTGCCATTTTATACATTTCCATTGTATTTCTGCCATTTTATACATTTTCATTGTATTTCTGCCATTTTATACATTTCCATTGTATCTCTGCTATTTAAACATTTCCATTGTATTTCTGCCATTTTATACATTTCCATTATATTTCTGCTATTTATACATTTCAGATGTTCAACAGCCCTGATATTACTAGCTGAAGAAGATGCTTCCACTATAGTTGATGCTGAGAAATTATTTAAACAAGCTTACAAATATGCTGAGGTCCAGTATAAAAAATCTCAACAAACACAGCACCAAGGTTCAACACAAGAGGCTATTCATAGTATGTATTGTGTTGTATGTATTGTGTTGTATGTAGGCTATTGAAGTACACAAACATTAAAAGTTTGTGAATTTTTAGAAGATTTTACAAACAACTTAGTAATCTTAGGATTGGTGGCTGTGTGGATTCAAACCCTGTCAGTAGCAAGCTGTTGTTTCCATTAGCAAGTAACTTTACACTCATTGCTTAGTATTGGTTGGTTACAGGAACAGATTCGAGAGTATTTTAATAAGCTTAAAACTTCCTACACAATCCTACACAATCAAACTCAACTAAATTAGTATAAACTAATGATGTCGGTAAATTATTAATATTTTATCACAGATGATATTCCTGTAGTTTTAAGCTGGTTGAAATTTGATAAATACAAATAGAAGTCCATTATATTATTTGAACATCAGTCCATTAATGTGTTATGTAGCTATATAATATTGGAGGCTAATATAATGAAACATGGAATACAAGAAGAGATGATAAAATGTTTGTATGAGGACACTCGAGTTGTCAGGCTATTGACACTGTTTTAATGTAGATTGTATGAATAATAGAACTGTGTTTGTACTTAAACTGTTGGGTTTCAATCATTTGCATTGAATTATTTATTTTATTGTTTAACTTTAGTGTCATCAGTTTTCTGGAAATAATTGTTTGAAAGTTTTTTAAAGCATTAAATTTTGCTCTGTATAGATATTTTGACTTTTGCCTTTGACTTTAGAGATTAGAAAAAGTGGAGTGTGGTCGCCGCTAAAATTTGAATTTTTTTATTAAACAATAATAGTGTTTTCTAGGAGTACTTTTTACTACAATATTCTCCCTTTGATGTGTTTGACTTTACCTTGATGTGTTTGACTTTACCTTGATGTGTTTGACTTTAGAACATTTTACAATTTTGCCGTGTTGGGCTTTCTTTAGGGATTCTGTATTTATCTATTTTAGAGGTCAGAAAATGTCGAGCATGGCCCCAGCTAGACCTAGGAAAATTGATAATTTATTCAAACATTTTTAGCTCACCTGTCACAAAGCTTTTGTGGTCACTTTTCGTCCAGCGTCCATCCGTCCAGCGTCCATAAACTTTTACTTTAAACAACATCTCCTCATAAACCACTAAGCCAATTTCATCCAAACTTCACAGGAATGGTCCTTTGGTGGTCACCTTTAAAAATTGTTCAAAGAATTTAATTCCATCAGAACTCTGGTATGTATAGCATACGGAAAGAAAAACTTTTAAATATCTTCTTTTAAAAAACCCAAAGAGGTAGAGCTTAGGTATTTGGCATGAAACATCTTCGGGTGAGTGTCTATCAAGTTTAAGAAATAAAAGCACTGGGGTCAAAATTGGCCTGCCCCTGTGGGTCATTACTTTTCCTTATATGTATATAGTAAAAACTAAAAAAAAAATCTTCTTTTAAAAAACCAAAGAGGTAGAGCTAAGATATTTGGCATGAAACATTGTCTGATGAATGTCTACCAAGTTTGATAAAATAAAAGCCCTGGGATCAAAATTGGCTCTGCCCCAGGGGGTCATTGATTTTCCTTATATGTATATTATTAAAACTTAAAAAATATTCTTTGAAAAAACCGAAAGAGCTAGAGCTTAAATATTTGGCATGAAACATCTTCTAGTGAGTGTTTAAAAGTTTGTTCAAATTAAAGTCCTGAGGTCAAAATTAGCCCCCACCCGGGGGATCATTGATTTTCCTATATATATGTAAATAGTAAAAAAAAATCTTCTTTTAAAAAAACCAAAGAGTTAGAGCTTAGATATTAAGGATGAAATATCTTCTGGTGAGTGTCTGGGTTAAAATTAGCCCCGCCCAAAGGGCCTATATACTGTTGAGCAATTTCAGGGCCATCATGGCCCTCTTGTTTAGTGTTACTATTCAAAGAAAAGCAGGGCAATCTAACTCATTTGGGAGATTACTCTTTCATTAAAGTTTTGCGTGCAACATCTTTTACAACTTCATATCATATTGTTCATATCATTAATTTACCACTTAAGATATAAATTGCTTTCAACTTCACACATGCCTTTGAGATCATTATAGGAGATCACTATCCAAGGTCATGGTGAATTATAGCCCATTGTTAAATTCCTAATAAAATTTTTGCATGCAACATCAGTCTCCAAAACTACTGAAAGAAATGTTTTTGTAAATTATAATTGGAGGTTGTTACACAAAGCCTATGACTCTTTCATACATGTTGATTGAATAATGGCCAATTGTGAACTAATTAGAAAACTTCTGATGATCAAGTTTTGCATTCAACATCATTCTTTAAAACTACTGAACATATTCACTTGAAACTGCAAGTTTTCAAATGGCAAAATTTCCATAATAATTCGGAATACAGGTAAAAGGGTTTACAGTGTATTATATTTACTACTATTGTACGTATTGTAGGAAGAGATACAAATGTGATGGTATATGTTAAAAGAAGACTAGCCATGTGTGCGAGGAAGTTAGGTCGTGTACGCGAGGCTGTCAAACTCATGAGAGAGGTAATTCACCATTTCTAGAATATTTTTGTCGTGACTCAAGTTGTTCAAATACGCAAAAATCATCAGTATTGTAAGTGTTGGTAATTGTTCTAGATACAAAACTCTAATGTGAAATTTAACTGCATTATATGCCGCAGTAACAAATTTGGCTGTAAGTGAACCATGCCCTTACCTTTATTATTCAAGCTCTTGTTTCAGTTTTAAAGCACTGAAAAATAGTGGTGAGTGCCATCTCAAACTAGCCAGCTTTTTGCATAGAAAATACTTCTGTGATGAAAAATGCTTTACTTTATATAACACAGAAAAGTTTCATAATATATTACTATAATATTTGGAACTCATTTACAATTTACTTACATAAATTAATCAAATATTATTAATTATGCATATATTCTTGATAATATTCCAATGAAAATGCCTGCCCTTTGGGCTTAAACAACACTTGCTGAGGGACAGATATTTTGTTCTTACATATCAGACAGGATTATCTACTGTTTACACTGTTGCTACAAAAATCTGTCTTACACCCCCTATTTAAGACAAGTCATGTGTTTTAAATGACGTCATTCCCACACGCATTTTATGAATGAATTGGGTTCTTAGAATGATGTCATTTTGCCGTTCTGAATGAAGTTTTAAGTTTCATACGTTATTATAAGTAACAAGTGCAAAAAAAAAATAATAGTTTTTGAAATTTCTTCCCGAAATATGAATAATGTTATATGCAAGAAAAAGATTCAAGCACTGCCTGTCCTTACAGATGGGAATGTCTAGTTCTCGGGTAACTGTTAAGCGGTAACTTGGCAGAGCTTTGTTTTATCGCCGTAAACAATTAACCTCGAGCTAGATTTTCCGGTCTGCACCTGCAGCTGGTGTAAGATTCTAATATTATTTCTTGCAGATAATTTCTTGCATATTCTACAAATATTTTAATGGTTAACCTTAATAAATTATTTTTTTCATGGAATTGATGTTATTTGATCTTTTACCTTTTTCTTATAGTGGCATATGAATTTTCAACTTCATTCATATTTGCCAAATGATGTCATACTTTAAAGCAAGGAGTTTATTTATAAAATTTGCCCGTCATTGTTTATCACACGGCTTATGTGGCACTCCCCATGCCAGATTAAATTCCCAGCATGTGTAAAAACTAACCAAATTAATCCCAGTCTGATATACAGGAATGTGCTATATTGTCTATAAATTTACATTATATATACTGTATGCATCACAAAAATTTTGTGAATGTGGACTTTTTGTGTGCGAAAATTTTTCGCGAAAATATGATTTCTTGACTTTAATACTGTTTTTGTGATATCATTAATTAAGTAGGTACTATTCAGTTGTTTAATACCTTTGTCATTTATACAATTGTTTGAAATATACATTGTAAGTTTGATAAAGGACCTGATCACACATTTCTTTGTCATATTTTGAAACATTATATTGTTATGTGAATAACTTATGTATTATTAACACATATATTGTTTCATTAGAACAGTAGTAACCCAACTTAAACAAACATGCAATGAGAAAATTTATTCATGTAAGATGCTGTATGAAAATGTGTTTTCAAATGATAGAAGAAAGTTTGCCTTAATGAAATAACTTTTGTGCAATCAAATATTTGCAAATAAATTCAATTCGCAAAAATTGCAAATGCATGCATTTCCATGTAGCAAAATTAACCACTGATACAGTATTAATTTTTCGTATGTACAAAGTTATATTACATTCATTGATATTAATGAAACATCATGTCTTTTATTATTTGATATTTAGAAAGAGAATTACATCTTACATAGTTTTGTCATCTAAAGATGGATGCTTTTTCAAGAACTTTTACAGATACAAAGAATAGAAAAGAAAAAAATCTCATAAATTATACCCCACATTGTCTTTGTAAAGTGGAGAGTTTCTGAGATAAACCTCCTCATTTCCTAAAATGGATAACTTTTCTAGTGCTATTAAGCTGATTTAAGCCTCGAGTAATCTCCGCCAAATAAATCTGTATAATGCTAAGTAAAAACTGTGTCTTGTGACGTAGGTTCTGCTATATTATTGCCTCTCTGCTCAGACTTTAGACAATTTAATAAGGCTTTCTATTGTATAATTGATTAAGTTTCCTCTTATAGACACGTGACTCTCCGGGTTGATCACGATAATAGTCACGTTCTCCAACATTTAGTACGTACTCTCAATAATGAGACTCTTAAGATGTGAGGGGTTTTTTAAATAGATTTTCTTAATGTATAGAAATTTTGATGGAAAAAGTGCATTATAAATTTTGGATTAGTATTTTTTTGTGTGGGTTTCCCAATTTAGACCAATTTTTTTAAAAAAATACTTTTTTGAGATTAATGCCCTGTCTGCTGTATTTGTCAATTTTGTTAGGATCCTTTAAATTTGGGGAAAGCACCCCTGCTTAAGGGAAGGGGCCCTGGTTTTCCCCCTGTTTTTAAATTTGATTAAAAAAATTGCACCAGGCCTTTTCAATCCAGATCAACCAAAAAAGCTGTCAAGAGGCATTTTTGAAAGAACTAAATGATAAAATCTTAAAAATTTTAAATTTGTCGGGAAAATATTAGATTTTTTTGCTGATGAAATTTTTTGTTAATGTTTATATTGCTTTTTTTTGTCTCGTTCTGTTGTATTTAAAATCTCCCAAAATATAGGAATATTTACGGGGAGTTTTTTTTACGTTTATTTCACGGAACTTAGCAACAATTTTCATATTTATGCTCAGCTAATTATCAATGTTTTTTGGGAATCTTTTTGTTAAAATTGACCCGCTCGAAAAAACCAAATAGTCGTGCGACCAGCATGGATGGCCCCACCCTGCCATCGCACAGTTGACGGGATCATGTTTAGCTTACCACTCATTACAAGTAGAGAAATGTTTACGAACACATGGATCCTGTCGATTGGTCGCAGGGGGTTTGGGACCCAGGGGGTTGCAACCCTATTTTGGGGTTTTTGTGTGACCGGGGGTAAATTTTAAATTTCTGCTTTATTAAATAATTTTTATTAGTTTTCTATATAAAAGGGAAAAAACATGTTTGTTAGCTCTTTTTTTAAAATAAAAAAAAATAAAAAATGTTTCTTTAATTATCCCACATGATTATGTTTTTGTATTATTGCAAAATATGATAGTTGAGAAATGTAGAAACTAAACAAACTGAAGAAGACAGCATTACAATGTCGCCCTTTAAAAAAGAGGGGACATATCGATTTGCAGCCTGATGTTGGCTCGTCTGTTAGTTGATCCATCCCACATTGTGCAATAACTTGAGAAGACATGAGCCCATTACCATTAAACTTCTTAAGTGTATTGGTCTTGGGGAAAAAGTTATCCCAATTAATTTTGGGGTCACATTGACCATGTATGTCCGAACAGATTCCCAACAATAATTCAACAACCCATGGGCCCTTGTCCCTCAAACCTCACATGTGCATTGGTTTTAGGCAATAGATGACCTCTCTTCATTTTGGGTCACATTGACATTGTATGTCAAAACAGTTACCAACCAGTTAGAGGACAAACAATGGGCCCTTAACCTTCAAACTTCATAGGTGTATAGGTTCTGGCCAGTAGATGGTTCCTGTCCTTTGGGTCAAAGGTCAAGGTCACATTGATCTTGTCTTTCAAAATTGTTTTTGATCAATAACTTGACCACCAATGGGACCATGGCACTCAAACTTCCCAAGTGCATTGGTTATGGGTAGTAGAGGATTCCTATTAATTTTGGGGTAGAGGGCTCATAGGTCAGGGTCACTTTGACCTTATTTGCCAAAAGAGTTTCCATGCAACTGCAGGGTCAAATTTACATCAGATTTATATGCAGATAGTTTTATGATGTAGAGATTTTTATAGAAATATTTAAAACAATCTTTTTCTTCAGAATGTAGGGCCTGAGGCTTTGATATTTTGCATGAAACAAGACCTAGTACTAGCAGACCTGTACCAGATTTGAATGAATTCTGGTCCTTGGGGGGTCAAATTGGCCCCATCCTGTGGACAGTTTTGTTAACATGTATTGTAGTGAAAAACTTAAAATTTTTCTCAAGAATGGCTTATAACTTTGATATTGTACATTCATCAGTGGAGCATTACCCCTTGCTCAGCCCTAGAGGTCTTCTCTGCTGAATGGAAAAAAATGATCACTGCTATGTTTTGTTTGTATTTACAGATAATGAAGGAGTTTCCCATGCTCAGTATGTTTAATATACATGAAAATCTTATAGAGGCCTTATTAGAACTACAAGCTTATGCTGATGTTCAAGTTGTACTTGCTAAATATGATGGTAAGTCATGAGTAATTACTAATGTTTTGTTTTTAGCTTGATTATTCAGAGAATGAGAGCTATTGTATTTTTTGTCAGTGTTGGTGTCAGCATCACACTTTGGTGAAGTTCTTGTGTGCAATTTTGTATGTTCAAAATTACTGTAGGGATTGGGTTGAAATTTTTCGAACATTGTACATTGTCCAGTATCAGGCACTGAAAATAGCTAAAGATGCTGTCCAATGAACAGCTCTTGTTAGCTTTACCAGATTGTTTAAAAACCTTCATTAATGACTATTTATCAGTGACTGTAAGCCTTAAGTTATTGAGGAAACAAGCTTATAGAGTACAGGTGATTCTTCTCAGATGCCAAAAATGATGCTCTATGGGGCTTCTTAGGTCTTCACTGTTCCATTGTTGGTGTGATTTTAAACAACTGTAGATGGCTGACGGCATATTGTAATATGTTACATTCCATTGTACTGTAAAACTCTTGGGTGTTTTTTTTGCCATATGGTTTTGGCATTTTAAGAATGCTTCCCTTTTTATTTTAGGTCTGCTACATTTGTTACATCATTGAATATTGTGCTAATCTTTGGTATTGTTTTTCAGATATCAGTTTACCTAAATCAGCGGCTATATGTTACACAGCGGCTCTACTCAAAGCACGGGCAGTAGCAGACAAGTATGTATCACTGTGTGTTTCTAATATAACTTTTTTTACTGTAATGTTCAACAATTTGAAATCCTATGGCAATACTTGGCTCTAGCAGCAAGATTATACGACCTTGGTCATCAGTATAGAGCCAGACTGGCCACCATCACAGGTCAGCCTTAATATTGCTTCTGCTCAGTTTAAGGATTTTGATCTGAAAATTTATAAAAAAAATTGTATTGCTTTAAAACAAGACAGACCTTTGAAATGAATAAAAAAGGTATAACAAAAAAAGTCTACACATGATTTAAATTTTTGGGAAATATGGGTTTACAGAAATACTGGAAATATTAAACTTTTTAAGGAAATTTTAAAAAGAAAAGTAAATCTGATTTGTCTGAAGTTTTTTACAAATCTACTTTCTTAAAGTAAAGGGTTTTTTCATAATTTCACAAATATTTATGAGTAATTGTAAAAAACAAAATTGAATCTGTTTTTGGATGTGTAGGTTATAAATTTTCATTTACTGTTACTTTCAGATTTTCCCCTGATATAGCTAGTAAAAGAGGTTTAAGTACAGCAGAAATGTCAGCTGTAGAAGCAATACACAGAGCCGTAGAGTTCAATCCTCATGTAACCTAAGGTAAGGCTAGATAATAACAAGATTTTAATTTACCTCAGTGTGTAAAGTTTTCTCATGTAAAGGATGTTATGGATGTAATAAAGCAGAATCTCCGATTAATGTTATTAAGGGAAATAATATGAAGAGCTGGAAGCCAGTGAGGGTAAATTTAAGTTCTTTCCAACCTTTGGTAAATGAAATTATATTAAGAGCTGTAGATTTCAGTCAGGAGTTTGGAAAGTAAGGGAGATAATAGCCAGAGGTATAGATTTCAGTCCTTACGTACCTTAGGTAGGAGAGATAATACAGAGCTGTTAAGTTCAGTCTCAGGTAAGGCTAATAAATAAAGCTAATGATTAATCTAGGTTAATGTGTTATGATTAATTTCTGATTGAAAATCTTAAAGACTACCTAGGTGCAGTGTTGGTGTTGGTAGTTTTCACTCCGGATCACGGCTGTAAGTCACATTGAATTTTATAGAGTTCAGCCACCGTATCATTCCTAGACAGGCTGTCCAGCACTTACCAGTACTAAAAGCCTTCATTTCTGCAAGGAACTGATAACTTCTGTACATCCATAGATAACTTCTGTACATCCATAAGCAGAGGTACAGTGCGAATGATGGTAGATAAGAATTCATGTTCAATCACAATGAACGTGACCTGCGCCATCTGGGAATCGAACTGGGGTCGCCTGATTCACATACCAACCCTCTTCCTGTTGAGCTGACTGACTGGATGACTCTACCTAGGTGCTTGCTTGTGTCTTTATTAATAAATTACTAATGGGCATCTAAGTCTATATACTTCATAATACCATGATGTGTGACGAAAGACTCAAAATGAATAAACACTCGATGTTTTATTTATAGTTTTCAATTGATGATAGTTTGTTTTTTTAAGTTGTATTATGTAATGTTATATTTTGGTTTCAGTACCTTTTGGAAATGAAAAGTCTTGTATTACCACCAGAACATATCTTAAAGCGGGGAGACAGCGAGGCCCTGGCATATGCATTTTTTCACTTACAACACTGGAAGCGGGTGGAGGGCGCTCTAAATCTACTACATTGTACATGGGAAGGAAGTAAGGAAATATGAGAGCTATTTATTTTAAGCATTGATTGTCTGAAAGTTGAAAGTTGACATCCATACCTTTTGTCAAGGAATGTTATGTTGTTGCTCATTGAAACACTAGTCTCTCTGGCTTGAAGATTTAATTTGCTGATGTTATAATTTTAAATGCCTTTTATCATTTGGGGGTTTGAATTTATTTATCTGAGGATTACTATTCATAATTGTCTGAAATAAGACATTGAGTAGAATCTGGTCTTCCTCTACTTGGAAATAGGAAAAGTCATTATATAACTTTGCCATTGCTATTTGTGCCAGGGAAATTATAAAAAACAAAACACTCACGAAAATGTTGGACAAAACTGATTTGAACATTCTTAGTTTTTTAATAATTATAGAAATAAATCTTTACATAATGTTGTTTTTATATAAATCTTCTGTTAAGTCAAGTTCATATGTTGATATATTGTTTTATTGTATGTTTCAGCATTTAGAATGATACCATACCCATTGGAGAAAGGTCATCTATTCTATCCATATCCCACATGTACAGAAAGTGCTGATAGAGAGCTTCTACCTGGTAATATATCTTCTATCATCAGTTTAATGACAATAATATGTATATTCTTACCTTTATGATAAACATGAGAACTAATTTGAAGAAAACCTTAAATACTTTCCTCCTACATGTGATTATTGTTTAGTAAACCTTGTATACTTCCCTCCTATGTGAAAATATTTTTTGAGTAATTTTATAAACTTCCATCCTACATGAGAACATTAAGTAAACCTCCGTCATTTGAGCAGTGTCATGACAAAACCAACGTAATGCGTTTGCGACCAGCATGGATCCAGACCAGCCTGCGCATCCGAGCAGTCTGATCAGGATCCATGCTGTTCGCTATCAGTTTCACTACTTGTAATAGGGTTTGTAAGCGAACAGCATGGATATTGCGCAGGCTGGTCTGGATCCATGCTTGTCGCAAACACACTATGTTGGTTTTGTCGTGACGCAGCTCATTTATTAAATCATCCCTTCACTCTCAGTTTCAAAGTACATTGACCAAACATTTTCCTATGTGAGCTAATAGGACAGATTATGCAGTCTCTTTATTAACTTTTTTTTTCAATCCTGTGCATGCTAGATAGGTCAGATATGAAAAGTATTATATATAAGAAAATAAGAGTATTTATCGATATATCGGTGTATTGCCAATATTTGTCAGCTGATATCGATGTATCATCAATATGCTTTGCACAGAATCAATGACAGCTCTAATTGAAGGCTGCGTAAAAATTGTAGCATATCTGTTACAAAGTTCAGCTAGATAGAGAGTGATATACATGTGGTAAAATGTAATACTATACCTTGTTGGTGAAATTACTGATGGGAATATTAGAGTGGTAAATATCAGGATAATAATTTGATATAACTAATACACTAAGGACTATATGTTCTCCTGCATGACCTCATGAATTCCCTGTTTAATCCAATTATCTCACAATTCTAGCTTTATTCTGTGGTATAGTTGGTAGTTAAAGGAAAATAATGATACATAATGTCATTAAAATGAAAATATCAATATTTTTTTGAAATGTCTAAACTTTCCTGATTAAATTCAGCTCTGTGTTAAATTCCCTGGTATAATAAACGTCAAGGCTGTATAAAATATGATCAGTAAAGAGTGTTACTTGTTTTATGCCATATCAAAAGGAGATAAAAGTATTATTTACTATGACATAGATAAAAAGGATACATCATCTTACATGTCTATATTTATCAAGTAGATTTGCCCTAAGCCCTAGGAATTTTGTTACATTTATAGATTTAATTACTACTGTAATAAATCAGATTACTGTAAACAGCCTCAGACTACTGGCTTTTAAAAGCTTTTCTTACATACACACAAGTCATTATTTCTACTTGTACTTCTCCTGATCCAATCAAAACATTTAATTGTCACTTTTTATAAACTAAGCGTTAAATGTAAATTCTAATGGATATTTACAGAAATGTCATTTGGATTTGTGTGTTATCTATTGTTTATGTGAACTTAATTATTAAATTAAAAGGGATTATGGCAAAATGAAAACATATTTTGATCTTCACCTGTTCACTCACTATATACCCCTAGATGGGCATAATGTCACTTTAAGCCGCGCCATGACAAAACCAACATAATGGGTTTGCGACCAGCATGGAACCAGACCAGCCTGCGCATTCGCGCAGTCTGATCAGGATCCATGGTGTTCGCTTACCAACCCTTTTACTAGTATAGAAACTGATAGCGAACAGCATGGATCCTGATCAGACTGCGCGGATGCACAGGCTGGTCTGGATCCATGCTGGTCGCAAACGCAAAACGTTGGTTTTGTCGTGACGCGGCTCATTTATAGATTTACCCAATCTGATTAAAATCATCTCCTAAAAAACAGTAGGTCTGTAAACATACAAGATCTGAAATTTAGTCAGATTGACTTTACATACAACATACGTAATAAACCGGCTTAGTTCAACTTACTCTACTGAAAAACATCTTGCAAATCCTTTGAATCCTTTTAAATCCACTCATCACGTGCCAAATGAAAACCTTCACAAATAATGAAAATTGTTCAAAAGCATTCTAACTATTAAAAGAGATGAAGATTTTCCTTGATATTTTATTCTGATGCACTTTTTTGCAGAACATAAAAAATTACCTAGATTCAAACAAATATTTTCAGTTTTCCATGAGGTTTCAGTGTACCAAAAAAGGAACTTGTTTTTTAGATTCACACTTGTCGTTTCGGTTTTCCATGAGATACAGTGATGAGTGTGTGTCTTTTTGGTTTTTCATGAGGTTTTAAGTTAACATTAGAATTTACCAAGATTTAAACATGTATTTTCAGTTTTCCATGAGGTTTCAGTGTACCCGAAGAAGGAATTGCCTTTCTTTATCCTGTTTACAGCTGGATTGTGCTCATTCACAGCCCTTCTTGCATTACTCACACATCAATACCCAGAGCCCATGGGTATAATTGCTAAAACTGTAAGTACTTTGTATTTTACCGCATTCTGCTAAACTTATTTTAATGAGCATGTCTGACTGTCTATATATACTTAAACAATATCATTACAAACCTTTTACAATTTTAGTGAAATTTATTATAAATCTTCATCTAAAGTGACCTTCTGGCCAAGTTAAAGGGTTTCCATTGAGATTTTTTGGACATGATTGGGCTGTAAAGTATTTTTTAGATTAATGCTCCATTTGATGTTGGTGTTGATCAATAACTTTTCAGATCATTTACTTATTCTGTTTTCCCGAAATAATTATTTTAATTGTAAAAAATTACCTAAATTGAAAATTGAAATGCCCTTAGCTAAAGTCTGGGATAATACAATTTCCAATTTACATCTTAGAAAGAAATTCAAATATTGATATTTTATGGTATTAGGCTTTTTGTGTTTTAATGTAACCTATTTCTGTTTCTTGAATTGACCCTGGATATAAGATTTGTTCCTAAACATTTACTTGTATGTAAAAAATTAAACATTGGACAATACAAAAAAGAATAGTAATGTTCAGTTAAATATTTATAAAAAAAGTTCAAAAACTAACCAATGTCTCAGACAGAATAAAACAACAGTACTGAAAGCATTATTGATGAAAGAAAGCATATTTAGTTAAAATTTTAAGATATAGTAATTTATGAGTAAAGGAATGAAAGATTTCAACCTTGACTTAGTTAACTTGTCCTACTCTGAATATAGAACTGTCTGTCCTTTGTTTCCGTATTTTTACGGTGACATTACATAAATTGAACAGACAATGGTCTAAACTCTGATCAGAAAAAATCACCACCAGTTATCAGAAAGTTAAGCTGACAATTAATTACGTTTTGGTAACCATGGCAATATAAATTGTATATTTTCAGGCAGTGACATGGGTATACATGCCAGTTAGCTACGTTCTGGAGAAACTAGAGGCTATACTACCGTCTAATCTATTCCAACAACTGTCTCGCATATAAACAGTTGATGTTGTAATTATAGGATTAATTAAACACATGGACACTTGTCTAATACATCATAATATGTACTGTCACAATACTATAGATCATGTCTTATTTTGCTATTCTACAACATTATTGTTGATGTTTTTCAAGTTGGTTGCTTAGGTATCAACATACCAAGCAATATTTCCTAGTTCAAACTTGAATATTACTATATACAAGGATTTTATATAGATTTTTGGGGGGTAAAATCAAGTACAAATGTCATAAATTTTAAAAATAAAAAAGCAACAGAAAAGGGGCTTATTCTAAAGTTATGTCCCTTGAGAAAGTGTTTTAGTTATTTAAGAAACCAACCATAAAGAGTCTGGTTAAACTGCATAAATGAACAGGATGGCCCGTTCTTACACTGGTAGCAAAAAATCTTAGGCTGAGATATTCACCAGGAGCTCTAAAAGGGATAATTAGTTTTTTGGAGTTATCATTTGTTTTTTTGGATAAGACATGATCTATGATATTGTATAGTATACTTTGATCACAATGATCTGAAATACTTATTTTTCCTATTAGACATGTATGGAATACATGCTGTAAAATTTGTTTTTAAAACAGTCTGTAATGTAAAATATTTAAATAAAAATATTATTTTTGGCAATATTATGAAAAAGAATTGGACAAGGTTTGTTTTGTTTTTTTTCAAATGTTTTTGATGAAATACTTAAGCTGTAAAAAGAACAAAGCATTACACTGAGTTAATCTGGATTTACCTGTATAAATTTTGTACTAATTTGCAGTATTCATAAATGGCAAAGTTAAATTTATTGGCATGAACAAATTTGATGAAGTTGCTTTGTAATTAAATACCCATTCATTGATGCTTAGACATTAATGTTCACAATGAGATTGAAGTTGAATGGTCAGCATTAATGTAGCTGGATCATTCGTATCTTGATTTTCAAGATGGTGGCATCAATTCTCTACCATTTTTACCATCATTCTACAGTCAACATTCAGTTTACCCAGGGTACATCATTGACATAACCCATAATACATGGTTTAGTTTACACACAGTGTTTCTTGGTTTACCTGTAGTAAATCATTTAGTTTATTATGATACAAACATTACATAATCTGCTATGTGCAATTCTCAGCCCTTATACAGCTTTTACACCCCAACAAGATAACCAATAGCAGTTGCTTCTCATTTTGTGAACTGTCATTGGTCAAGTTAAGACTTTATTATGGGAGTTATCATTGGTCAAGTTAAGATGTTATCATGTGAACTATCATTGGTCAAGTTAAGACATTATTATGGGAGTTATCATTGGTCAAGTTAAGATGTTATCATTGGTCAAGTAAAGACATTATCATTGGTCAAGTTAAGACATTATTATGGGAGTTATCATTGGTCAAGTTAAGACATTATTATGGGAGTTATCATTGGTCAAGTTAAGATGTTATCATTGGTCAAGTTAAGACTTTATTATGGGAGTTATCATTGGTCAAGTTAAGATGTTATCATTGGTCAAGTAAAGACATTATCATTGGTCAAGTTAAGACATTATCATGGGAGTTATCATTGGTCAAGTTAAGACATTATTATGGGAGTTATCATTGGTCAAGTTAAGACATTATTATGGGAGTTATCATTAGTCAAGTTAAGATGTTATTACAGGAGTTATCATTGGTCAAGTTAAGTCTTTATTATGGGAGTTATCATTGGACAAGTTAAGATGTTATCATTGGTCAAGTGAAGACTTTATTATGTGAATTATCATTGGTCAAGTTAAGACATGATTATGGGAGTTATCATTGGTCAAGTTAAGATGTTATTATGGGAGTTATCATTGGTCAAGTTAAGACCTTATTATTGGAGTTATCATTTGTCAAGTTAGACGTTATTATTGGAGTTATCATTGGTCAAGTTAAGACATTATTATGGGAGTTATCATTGGTCAAGTTAAGACATTATTATGGGAGTTATCATTGGTCAAGTTAAGTCTTTATTATGTGAATTATCATTGGTCAAGTTAAGACATGATTATGGGAGTTATCATTGGTCAAGTTAAGATGTTATTATGGGAGCTATCATTGGTCAAGTTAAGACATTATTATGGGAGTTATCATTGGTCAAGACATTATTATGGGAGTTATCATTGGTCAAGTTAAGATGTTATTACAGGAGTTATCATTGGTCAAGTTAAGTCTTTATTATGTGAATTATCATCGGTCAAGTTAAGACATGATTATGGGAGTTATCATTGGTCAAGTTAAGATGTTATTATGGGAGTTATCATTGGTCAAGTTAAGACCTTATTATTGGAGTTATCATTTGTCAAGTTAAGACGTTATTATTGGAGTTATCATTGGTCAAGTTAAGACATTATTATGGGAGTTATCATTGGTCAAGTTAAGACATTATTATGGGAGTTATCATTGGTCAAGTTAAGACATTATTATTGGAGTTATCATTGGTCAAGTTAAGACATTATTATGGGAGTTATCATTGGTCAAGTTAAGACATTATTATGGGAGTTATCAATAGCAGTTCCTTCTCATTCTGTGAATCTTTGGTCAAATTAAGACATTATGTTTCATTAGTGAAGCAAATATTCTTACATTTAAGTTACAATGTTTAGCACATCATTTCTGAGGCAATTTTTCAAAGGTAAGGGTGTTGGTACATAAAGTTCCCTGGTAAGGAAATTGTCAAAAAATTATTACCCATTTTTTCAACTATGAGACATGTTAGAAATCTTTCACAAGTGAGAGAAACTAATAATATGGTTCACTCATGAGTCAAGATGGATAAAGAAAAATTGTACATGTGACAAAAGGTTAACATAAATTTTCACATACTTAGTAATTTTTAAGGTCAACCATTCATTCAGCTTGTAATTCACAAAATAAACCATGAACAGCTTTTAATTCATTACATAAATCATGATTTTTTTTTCACTGAGTAAATTATTAATGACTGGTAATTCATGAAATAAACCATGCTTGTGGTTTGTGAAGTAAACTATTGGTAGTTTGTAATTCCTGAATTTTACCATGGGTAGCTGACAATTCATGAAGTTAACGATGGGTTACTTGTAATTCATGAAGTTAACAATGAATAGCTTGTAATTCATGAAATAAACCATGGCTAGCTTGTAATTCATGAAGTTAACTATTAATGGCTTGTAATTCATGAAATAAACCATTGGTAGCATGTAATATGAAGTAAACTATTGGTTGCACAAATTTGACTCATAGTTTCAACAAAGATAATTTATCAGTGTTAAGATCTCCAGTTAGCAAGTAGATAGTTATGAACTAGTCACTCACAGTTTTCACTAAAAGTTGCCCATGAGTGTGTTAAATAACAGTGAGCACTGCTATGGTTAAATAACAGTGATCACTGCTATGGTTAAATAACAGTGAACACTGCTATGGTTAAATAACAGTGAACACTACTATGGTTAAATTACAGTGAACACTACTATGGTTAAATAACACAGACAGTTTCAGCCATCATAATTTATTTGTTCATGCATTTCTTCATATGTTTGAAAAGGGGAAAGGGATTTTTTTAACATTTAGAAATTTTAATTCACTTACATGAAATTTCATTTAATATTTGTCGAGTTTCTTAAGCAATATTTGTATAATATAAATCATGTACATTTGAAAATGACATGGACTGTTTTCTTTAATGATTCACATGAAATTATTGATAAAGTTATTACGAAATTTTAGTATTTTTTCAAAGCTACTGTCATTTATTTTACAAACACAAAAATAATTAATTGAAGATTTCAATGTGTAGAAAAAATAACATATATAAGGTACAAATGTCTGCATGTAGGCTAAATTTAAACAAGATAGTTTTCTATTTATTAAAATGGCTATAAGTTTACAAAGGGTACTTCAGTATTGTAAAATACCATGACATATTTGATATTTGTGAAAGATACATTCACAAATTTTTTTATTACGTTTGTTCTTTTCTGTAGAGGAAAGCACACTTCTGTTAAAATTCTATGTTTTCTTGAACAATATTTTCGTATTGTCGTATTAATGCACCATATTACAATAGTTGTCAAGGGAATTAACTCAGATGATTAAGATAAATGTTAAAACATACAGATTTAGTTCCCTTGTCAGCAAGTATGGGATCTAATTTGAAATATTATATATTTTTTTTAATATTTGCAAATCTTGACTTTAAATACAGATAAAGAGAGTAAAAATATTGTTGATACTATATCTTTTTTAAACCATGGAAACTAAAACTAATCCACTAATGTGTGTTTTTGGTCATATTTAGCTACTTTTGACTTTACTTGAGAAGTTGAATAAAATAAATTGATATTTAACAGTAAAATAACATTTATAGATGCATTGTATTCTTCTCTTGAAAGTAAATACTGAAATTTTGTGAAGAATTTAAAGTATATATTTTGTCAGCTACACCATTCTCTACTACTATTTCCATCTTGAGACTATAATGTGGCTGATTATTGGTAATCGGCAAGGTGTTCCTATGCTTATTATGATGCTATTAGAACGTACTTATTTGCATTTATTACAGGAAATACTATTTGTTGTGCTAAATAATCCATTGTCTATGTGAAGTAGATAATAAGTCGTATAACTTTGAGATTTCAATTTCAGATTATATTTTGGGAGGTGGAAATTAAAACAAATACTGCCATTGTAAAAATGTTTTGTTTTTACTTTTCCATTATGTCCATGCATGGCATTTCAAATAGAATTCCATTTGATAGACCAAGGGGTCTAAGTTACACATATTCATTCTGTTAAGATGTTGAATAGATGCCTTCTGTCAGAAAGCTATTTAACCCATAGTCTGTTGGCGGCAACAATTCACCCATGTGACCAGTGCAGATCAGCATACACATCTGTACCGTCTGATTATGGTCTACACTGGTCCCTGATTATTCATTTCACCCTGAAAATGGTTATGTCCACATTTGAAGACGAATGTGTCTATTTAGTATATTTAGCGTGGTAAACAGAAAGTGGTTCTTTATATGCACGGTCCATATTGTCCAGCTAGATACATTCCATTGAGGGACATATTGTGTTTGCTACAGCCAGCGTTGTCCCTCATCACAGTCGGCACAAAACTGCCACGGAGAGTGTATTGTTTGATTTGGTATACCACATGATATAGCGGACTAGGTGCCGGTTAAAGCCGTAAATGTTAGAAATGACGCCATGACGTTATGCCATTGAAGGTATAACTTTCGATATCAGTTTGAAAGAAAGTTAAAATCCAATCCTAAAGATTATAAAAAATGTCGATGCAGGTATAATTCTGATGGTCCATCATATATATCCCTATCCCGTAATGCAAGGACGTTAAATTTATCCAGAAATTATGTAATTGTAGTGCCGAATCGTACAAATCGATGGCCGAAACGATCACTATGGTTAGTAAATGTGCCGATATAAATAAACCATAAAATTGAAAGAAATTTTATTACATACAGCTTCTCAAACTTTTATATTTTAATCTTCATTAAACTATTTCCAGGACAGGGTGAGAATTCTATTCGAGCAGTTTGCCAAATGTGAATGAAATGACACCGAATTCATGAATGATCAATGGACCGACGTAACGCTGTTTAGTCTAGTTAAAATGTATCTGAACAACGGTACAAATGTTTGGTAGTTATATATAATTAACACATGGACTTAATAAAACAACGTGCAAAACAATTTTTGAACAAAACTGTAAAAGGGTAAAACAGAAATGACATGGACGCAAAACGCCTAAACGCAAATATCTTTACCTCGGCTTTCGAAGAATAGGAAGAGCTATTGTACTCAACATGGCGTCTGCGTACAAGTTGGTTCCTCTAGAACTAAAGGGAAACGGTTGAAATTTTACACACTTGTTCTCTGTGATAATCTAACGTGATGGACACAGGTCCCATACGTTGAGTTACCTACCTTTTTACCTCAGTTATGCCTTTCTCTTACTGTCAAACACTGAGAATAGTCAAGCGAGCTGTCTTACGGACAGCTTATGAAAGCGTTATTAAGTACAATATACTGCATTTTTGAAGGCCCATAATTGCAGACGAGATAGTTAAAATAGTAATAAAACAAAACAGATATGATAAAACTAGTGTCTCGATTAGTGGCTTTTATCTTATTTATATTCTTATCTTTCCACTTAACTCTTCATAATGAAGGACACTAAAGTAACAGTATCTAGATTTCTGATCTTGTATAAGCTCAGTCTGCCACACGCAAACAAAATATGGTTTTCATCAGAAACTAGCAGCGGGCCGTTGACGTGTGTACGAAGATCATCTTTTTTGATATTCCATCTAAACACTTTGAACTGACAAAATGCTTCAAAATTTGAGATATAAAATGCTATCGAAAAGATTTGAAAGGAGGTTAATTGTGAAAAATATGAAATGTAAGAAAACAAGGATGTTGGTTTTAGAAGTCGGTTTATGTTAATGCTTTAAGGTTGTTTTTATAAATATTTATTTGTTCTAGTAAAGTTTAGAGTGGGACCGCTTGTCCATGTTTGTTTGTAAGGTATTGTGAAAAGGAAATAGGAGGAAACTGATGAAGTGCGTTTATTTAAGTTAAAGGATTTTTTTACTACGGACATACATGTCTATTCATGGACGTTTCATGATACATGTACATATATATTTTCCCTGATACTTTTTAGCCCTTGTTGTTGTTCATTCATTATTCGTCGTTTAGATGCTTAGAGATACACTCAGAATGGCTGTCACCTGCATGATGATGATGGTGATGATTATAGTAGTATTGATGATGATGATGATGATGATGATGATATTTCTTAATAATGTAAACGAGAAGCTTTAAACAATATCTTTTTTTAAAATATATAAATAATGTGTTTTTGTATAATATACAGAAAGTATTAAATTTTAAACATGAAAACCAGTTTGTGTAGGATTACCAATAAAGAGATGTTATTATTTTTGAAACTAGATCTTCACTAGGGAACGGTTGATTACAGGGGTATATGCCCGGATGTTATAACAAACACTTAAACAGTAATATTTTCTCAGTGTTAAATGACTTGTTAATGAAAACAAACTCGCGAAAAGAATAAAACATTTTCAGACATTTTTGTAAACTGCTGTCAATTGAAGAAATAGTTTTATCTTGTTCAGCCGCTGGCCAAACACCATCCTATTGTACAAAATAACCGAGTGATTCAATTATAGGTGCTTTATTATACAAGTATAAATACACCACAAAACAATAAATGAGCCCCGTCTTGACAAAACCAACGTAATGCGTTTGCGACCAGCATGGATCCAGACCAGCCTGCGCATTCGCGCAGTCTGATCAGGATCCATGCTGTTCGCTATCAGTGTCTCTACTTGTTATAGGGTTTGTAAGCGAACAGCATGGATCCTGATCAGACTGCGCGGATGCGCAGGCTTGTCTGGATTCATGCTGGTCGCAAACCAATTATGTTGGTTTTGTCATGACGCAGCTCAAATGTTTCCAGAAATCATTATTTGCCTATTGAAAACTATGTAGATCAAACAGCAAATTATGTGTCTGTGGAAATCAGTCATTTTGTAAGGTATTTCAATTATCATAAATTTACGAGAGATCAGCGGGTCATTTTATGTTTTTAACTTCATGAAATCTTAACGTTTTCACAATTTTAACTATACTTACTCATAAATATGATTTTTGAAGATTGAACTTGAATTCTGGAAGTTCAAAGCATAAAGTTGAATAATCGACCATTCATGACGTTGAAACTGTGCATTCGTGAAGTTGAAATCATGAATTTATGAACTTCGGTCGTTAATTCATTAATTCAATATGTTAAAATGTCAAGAAATATTGAATTTGATGAATTTATTATGATACAGGAACTCCACTGAGGTCCATCGATCAACCGGGGCACTTAAATAACATGAAAAGATAATACAAAAATATACAATTTACTCATAATTAAATTCAAAATTGATCTTGTCTGCGATAGTTAGCCCAACTTTAGTCGCTTTTATTTCTTTGTCATTTTGCACAATAAAAATAATTATTCTGGGACAACGGAATAAGCGGATGGTCCTGAATTTTGTACACATATTATTGTGAAAGTCTTGGATGAAGTAATAAAAACATATTTCCAGTCAGATCATTACTAAAACCTCATAGGAGTCCCTTTAAAATATCCCTACCAAGCATAAAGTAATGAATGTTAAATGAACCCACACGGGACCAGGAAAAAAAAGATATCCACGCGTATTAAAGGCAGTGTCATATAAAACGATACGCTTACAAACCCTATAACAAGTAGAGAAACTGATAGCGAACAGCATCGATCCTGATCAGACTGCGCGGATGCGAAGGCTGGTCTGGATCCATGCTGGTCGCAAACGCATTACGTTGGTTTTGTCATGACGGGGCTCATTATGTCAATGTACAGGAATCGAAAATTGACGGCATTGGCCGACTTTGTAAGAGCTATTGACATAGACGAAAAATGTTTTCGGTCGTATATAGGAGTTTGTTTCCAGGTTAAGTTATCTTCCGATTGATTAAGGCGCGATTCCCCGATATTTGCCTGACAGGTACACGGTAAAAACTGATTTACCAAATCCGAGTATCTGTTTTCTTCTTCAAAATACTACTTTATTGTAACAGGATATTCATATTGACAACACATTATGCATCAGAAATGCTTCCATTTTCATTTCTCAAAAACTTTTTAATTTTGGTGTACTTTTATATTATCGAATAAATTATTCATTGGTCAACTACCTAAACCATCTTTTTCATCTGTTAAATTTGAAAGACAATTAAGGCCGCCATCTGTTGCTGTTTTGGCAATAAGTACAGTCATAGTGAATTAGTATTTTGTATGGAAGTCAAAATACTACTTTCTTTGTAAGTTCAAATACTACTTTGTTTACTTTTATGACAAAATATTTCACATTTATCGCTCCATTCTTCGGATAACAATCAGTTAATTACATTATTTTAAACAATTATTTTAAACATTATAAAATTCATGTTTGCCGTTTAAAATAAAATATCATTTGTTTCTGGGGCATAATGTGACTAGAATAATACTTTAGACGGTACTATTAGTTCACCAGGCAAATTTTGATATTAAATGAGATGTTATTACAAAATGTTTTAAACTTACATATGGGTCTTTCATAAACACTCAACAATATTTTTACAATATTGTTTTGTACTTACAATTTGAAAGACAGTTAATGCCGTCTGAATTAATCATATTTGTCGTATGTTGCGGTTCGGATCGGAATAGCCGTCCCTGTGAGAGTCTTTTTGTTGCTTATTTACATAAATGTCAACAACCAAATTTGTCGTGAATACGGAATTTGAAATGTCGGCATTTGAAACGAAAGCAATATCACCTTCTAAAAATGATCGACATAACCATGCAATTTAATATATTGTCGTTAACCTCTCAATCGATTTACGAGGGTTGTTCAAAAAGTAATAGGACTAAGAGTCTTGCATCTTCATATTCAATTCAATTTAGAATATTTTTATATGTACAACGGTCGAAAAATGTTTTCTTCAATTTAAGCATAAAACTATTAAATTCTTGTGCTTAACGTGTGTTCCCTGTGTTATTGAATATCCATGGTAACACGCACCCGGCGCAGCACTTAAAAAGTCATTGAAGCTTAGTTGAACTTTTATTTTATTCATAATTCATTTTCTTTTTTTTCCCATTTATTCCGCCAACACAATTTATTATATTTAAGTGACATTATGCCCACATTTGACGTCATTCAGACATGAAATGGCTAAATCATCAAATTTTGAACAGCAGTGGTCATGACGTTAAATCTAGAAATTTGACGTTCGTATGTGTGCGATCGTTAAACTTAGCCAACAAATTGGCGATACTCCTTCAGAAACACATGAAAACATAAAATTAACACAGTATAATTAATCGGCTATCAGGATACTCGTCCTCAGCTTGCGCAAGCAATTCAAAAAGTGCACATACGAGATCACATACAGGAAAGGATGAGAATGATATTGGGAAATTGACGGGACGTTAGCGACGTCAAATGATAAAGCGCTACAAAATGATCGACGTTAAACAGTCCACGAACTGTCCGGCACGTTTGATTTCTGCATTGGGTATTTTGATTCAGTTCTGCCGAAATGATTTGTTTCAAACAAAATTCTATTTTATTTAACTAGATATATGTGTTATCAATACATTAATGGTATAATGATTAACGGCCCGGTAATTATTAATATTTTCCCCGATTTTCTTTTAAAAATGATACACTGTTCCTAGTAGGAAAACATACTTTTTCAGTTGATAACTATTGTTATTTTACTTACATAATCATAATGTTTTCAGAACGTACGATGATATGTGTAAATTAATTCTATTAATCGCTTTTTCATTAACATCATAAGTTCATGCCTGCTTAATCTATATTGATTACTATAAGATACAAGAATACGAAAAAAAAGCGGAGAGTGGCCGGCTATCGGGCTTTATTTCGAAGAGTGGAGTTTTCTTTCTCACTTCATCTCCACATATGAGGTCTGGTCAAAGTTACATGATTTAGAAACCAAGAACACTAGGGGGAATTCTTTCAGAAGGGATGTCGCTTGATACATTTTGTTTTTATTTTACGACGTCATAAACGTCATTTATTGTGCTGTTAGCGTGCGCCGGGTCGTGTACCCCTTGTCATTTGAAATTTTCACAGACTCGTTATTTTCAAACATACTTTATTGATTTTTTCACTGTATATAGAGGATATGTTCCGATAGTATTATCTTGTAAAATTAAGCACGTAAATTAAAAATGTGAACAGTAGAACTGCCGTCCTATTACTTTTTGAACAACCCTCGTATTACGGGTTACGATGAAGTAACTATGTTATGTAAAATCAATCAAAAACGACCCTCTTTTTTCCTAAAGTGGGGGAGGGGAAGGTAAGGGGCATAATGGACATTATTGAGTGTCAAATATGTTTTTTGTCCTTACTTTCACAATCATCCTGGCAACAAAAAGTTGTATTAACAGCAATATTTGGAACTATCACGGCTTTTATTCCACAACCAACTGATAAAATAGATTTTTAATTAACTCTACAATATTAAAGTTTTTTATATGTTACAAACTCTCAAAATTTCCCGGCATTTTTCGCTTGCACTACATATGAAATTATCTTGGTTAATGGCAAAAATACTGTAGGAGAAAATCATACATCAGATAAATGAAAACTAAAATGTTTTACAACGTCCCGTCTGTCTTAGTTTAATAAGATTAACATGTTTCAAGAGCAGTGAATCAGATCAAAGGAACTGGATTATTTACAAATCAAACATAATTGTGCGCAGAAATCTCTTGCGAAATAATTCACCTTTTCCGCCATTAGATAAACTTTAAGGCCTACGGTTTTGTTTTTCGAGAAATAGAGCATGTATATCATAAAAGATGCCTTAAATCCGAATAGTGAAGAAACAACTATATCAAACTGTAAATTTCTAAATTGAGGCTATAAAGTGAAGCGATGTCTTTAAAATGCGTCCACCATTTCCCCAACATTTTCAGAATTAACAGAATTGATAAATAATTAATCCATTACTTATCAGATTTCTATATACAACTAAATTCTTAATATCTTATTCTTATATGAAAAATATATCTATAAAACAAAAGGAAAAACCAGAAAACAGTCATATACTGCAAAGATAATAAATTTCAGTATAAACAGCAGTGTTGAGTTTATTCCTTAGATCTTATTGTAAACAGTGGTATTATGTGTTAGTTTTACATCCATTAACATAGAGTGGTGTGTTTCTATTGCCTAAGCTCCGGAAACCTTCGCTCTGAAATCATAAATAACTACTTTCTATGGTCTACGCCTCGAAAACGTTCGTTTTGAAATCATAAATAATTTGTATCCATGGTCTATTACCCGGAAATATTCTAACCGACATAATAAATTACTAAAAACCATGATCTGCACTCCGGTATCCATTAATGACGAGAATCCATGGTCTACACCTCGGTATCCTTTTATGACAGTAACCATGGTCTACGCATCGGTATCCATTCATGACGAGTAACCATGGTCTATGCCCTGGTATCCATTCATGAGCTCGTCCCGGTATTCATTATTGAAGAGTAACCATTTTCTACGCCCAGGTATCCATTAATGAGGGGTAACCATGGGTTTTCGCTTTTCCTTTAAAGATCATAAATATTGGAAGGTGTACACCGTTTAGGATACATAACTACAGTTTGTGGCGAGTTTGGTTTACAGAAAACATAAAATTATGTTCTATCGACCTAAATTATGGCTTAATCATTTAACTGTATGAAAAAGAAAACTATATTACTATTAAAGCATTACCGTAGATAAAGTAAATGATCCGCTAAATTCAAACAACCATTTTAAAAAAAATGCAAGAATCTGACTTCGGACATTGTTTAAGTCCATCTATAATATTTCAAGGTTTCTCCGCAGACAATACAAAAGTGTGGACTTGTATAACAGTTGAAGTGTTTTACAGAATCAAAATTGTTCACATAACCAATGGAAGCCTTAGTTTTACCGGACACTACCATGATTGTAATGATATCACAACTGACAATAATAGGACGTCACACGCAGAATTCTAATTTTAAAGGTATCCAAAATCCTTAACCTTGTCAAAAGAAAAAAATATAATAAATGTTTAAAACACCTATGTTATCTTTTTTGATTTCTCGTTAAATGAAAAATATACTGAAAAAAAGAAGAAAGGAAGTTGTGAAAATTGTTGTTTCGGAAAGTGGCCAAATTTTGTTGCGTGGTGCAAAATAGTCGTGGTTATCAAAGTTGAGAAAAGTCGTAAAGTGAAAATACGAAAAAAATAAAAAATGTTATGTGATTTCGTTAACATTTCAAGGGGAAAATATTTGTAGAGAGTTGAAGTTTATTAGTACGGAGCCGTGATTTCCCTATCTACAGATATAGTGACATTCAGGCTTATATCTAGACGCTTAAAATTTTATGAACGATATGCACGGAATTTTGATTGTATAATGAATGTCTTTGGAAAGCCATTAATCGTCTGTAAACTACACTATGATTTTGATAGCACTAAGTTAAAATAAATGAATTCTAGTGATAAAGTTTGTGAATTTTTATGAAAATGATTCCGCGTGTCAGAAAATATGAACATTAAATTGCTATGAAATAGGCCTAGCTACGAGTGCAGTGATATGCGAGAACTCTGTTTTTAAAATGTGGTTTTTAGTGCTTGCAATTTGTATCGATTTCAGGGATAGTATTTTCATTAAAACTTTATTGAAATATTTATTTTTCGCTTTAAATTATTGCGGTATTCCCGCCTTATAAAACATGATTGCTAAATTTTGAACTCAAATTAAAAACATCAGTTGTAAAGACATGATCATGTGACAGTTTGGAATAAAATAAAATCGTGTGCAAAAAGTGCTTGGATAATTTGGATTGGTGAATATCCGTTGCTAAAAATAGCTTCGATAGGGCTCGTGCGGAATGCGACCAATCAGATTGAGTGTTACTTGGTGGCTAGGTTGTGTGAATTGCATCTTGGTTCTCTTGTGTTTGGTGAAAACTTTTACATCAGCAGAAACAAAGACGTTGAATGAATTCTGGTAAGTTATTATGTCTTATACGGAACTATTTCACAGTCTGCTTATTTTGCAATTGATCTATCGTATGCTAAAGATAATTCGACATGATTGGTCACTTTCAGTATCTTATAAAAAGCAATAATTAACAGCAAGGAAGACCTTTTTCAAGTCCCCACAATAAACATAATTCCAGGAACAAAGGTTATTCAAGTTCTACGAGATATTAGTGAATTTTATTAACTGGATGGTGTTTCTCAAGACATTTTTAGACACTAACGGCTTACTGTGTAATAATATCACCAAGTATCCATGTAAAACGCCTCCTTGCGTCGTAGACGGAGTTATGTCATTTTGTCATATAAACTTCGGTTGAGACCCACAACAATGTAAAATTCCCAACGAACAAAATATGTAGGTGTTTGACAAGCAAAAGGTATGCGTCCAGCGGGGAAAATTGTTTTAACAAGGCCGACTTGTTCTTCAGCTACTCGCTGGCGTTTTTTAATCAGTACATCTTCAAAGTTTTAGAAACAAGCTAGTAAACCAGACAAGTTATTTCCATTTTCAAAAGAAAAAAAATGTGTAACTAATCTATGCTTTGGTACAAAAGTCGTTTAAGCTATATGTACTTGATAACAGTAATTAATTTTATATGTATTTACAATGACTTGAATATATCATATACACAGACAGACAGACAGACACACACGCAGACAGACACGAAGACGATATTTAACTTGTTAATAAATTAAATATTCTTCTTTCTTTTTGTATGGTTATATGTTCAGAGAAAGACGTCATTATTGTAGAACTCATCGCGTTACAGAATATGAAAGTTCAACATAGCGGGTCAGAAAAGAGATGTGATCATTTAATTCTGAAAACAAAAACAAAACAACAACAAAAAAACAAAAACATTTTGATAGGTATTAAATAGTGTTAAATATATGTCGTCTAACGTGATTATATTATCTATTTTGCTAATTGTCTAATATACAGTTACGTATATGTGAGATTTTCTTGATATGAAAGAGGAGATTATTTTGAGAGATGTCATATTAAACCATCAAGTTAAATACATAAAGCTGCTTGAAATATCATGGTTTCTGTATATTTTCAGTTCATACAATAATAGAAACTTAAAATCTTAAATAGATAATTGATATAAAACAGCGTTATATGTACTGACACCAGATTGACGGGATATTCATCGGCACGTGTTTCCATGGTTTCGCTCTATCACGAAAGGTGATGAACAAACCAGCCTTGACACCATTGGAAGTATGAATGTAACTTTTAAACTTTTAAATACATTTTGTAGACAGATATTCACCAGTTAATGGAGCAATATTTTCCACAGCAGTCTTTATTTCATGATGGTTTACAGTCCATATTTTGATATATATCATAATTTGTCTATGCCATTTAACACCGACTCCTTCTTATCCTTTCCGTTATGATTTTTTAAAAATATTTTCTCTAGTATGTTTTCACTTGTTTTTTTTAATTGAATTTTTAACACTAGATTACCAGATTAACAGTGGCATTGTGTAAATCCAAATTGCCAGTGGCGTTGTGCAAATCAAAATATAACTTGTAGACGTGTCAATATTATTAGGACCATCTCTTGACAATAAATTATATCATAGGAAGCCGAGAGAGTCCCTTCAGTAAAGGTGCAATAACATAGGATGGTATCTCATTTGTTTTGTAGGAAATATAATCGTATCGGTGAAATTGCCTCTTATAATGTGGAATTGCCTCTTATAATGTGATATTGCCTCTCATAATGAGTTTCGGGATCTCTATTTTTGTTCGATTTTATACATGTATGTTTTGTTTGCTTTTTTATAAAAATAAAAAATAAACAAGAATTATCGTTAAAACGATACTCGACCGAAGTAAAACTGGTGTTATAACCCACCCACCACATTAATTGTGCGAACGTTTATTTTAGAACTTTTTTTATATTCTATTTGATAATGGCAATAACTATCCTTCACATTTGTTTAGAAATATCCTAACAATTTTATTTTAGAATGACAAGAACTATCCGTTACATTTTATTTTAGAATAGTCAATGAGATTCACAGAATTCAGTTTGTAATTTTAAAATAACAAATGAAAATTCTTCTTACATTCAGTTCTTCCATGTAAATTTTGCAGGAAGTCAAACTGAATACAGACCGGCCTATGCACAGGTGGCAGTATCAGTGTTTGGACACCCCACCCCTATCTGCCCCTGGACCCCTACTACAACCCTGAAAAAAATTCAACACTCTAAGGCTTACTAAAAGGTACCAAATACAAAACCACCGATGAAATTATATAAAAAAAAAATTTTTCCACTATCAAAATTATAGTTATAGAAAGGTGAAAAGCCTACTATAAGTTCATTTGCCAAACAATGTGGAACACGGGAAATCGTCGTTTCGGCGACTGAGGCGCATTCCGAAGGCATTTTGCTGCATCATTCATTTACATCAATAAAAAGAACTTGAATTCCACAGCTTACTTAATTCAAGTCTAACGAATATCAATATTATATCGATTTTTTCTATTTCACGGTAATTTTTTACTTGTCGTTGCCATTTTGGATTCTGATACCTACATGTGTTATACGCGATCTGATTGGACGTCCAATTTGGCTCGTCCAATCAGATCGCGTATTTCAACCCAGGTATCAGACTGCAAAATGGCTACGACAATTCAAAAAATACCGTGAAACAGAAAAAATCGGAATGATAGTGATATTCGTTGGACTTGAATTAGATAAGCTGTGGAATTCTAGTTCTTTTTATTGATGTTAATGAATGATGCAGCGAAATCCCGCCGGAATGCGCCTCAGTCGCCGAAACGACGATTTCCCGTGTTCCACATTGTTTGGCAAATAAACATTTAGTAGGCTTTTCACCTTTCTATAACTATAATTTTGATAGTGGAAAAAAAATTTTTTTTTATATAATTTCATCGGTGGTTTTGTATTTGGTACCTTTTAGTAAGCCTTAGAGTGTTGAATTATTTTTTTTTCAGGGTTGTAGTAGGGGTCCAGGGGCAGATAGGGGTGGGGTGGTCAAACACTGATACTGCCACCTGTGGGCCTATGGCCAGAAAAAGTGCAAGAAACAAGTTATTTGTGAACTGCCTTTGGATATTCTATCGGCCAGACAGACTCATAAGCATTAATCTGATGATGCTTTTGTTTTTTAATGTTTTCAATGTTGTTTTGTTTTCGATCAAAAACAAAAAGGTTAATAACTAACATATATAAATTTTCCTATCGACGACATAGGCACCTTTGAAACTAGACATTTTAATGTTTTAAACTGAACCGATACCTGCTTCACTTCCATTATTTTAATGCACTTTTATAAATGCAAAACTAATAAGACCGGTCACATCCGAATTATTCTGCTTAGAAATTGTCGGAAATAAATTTTCACGTATTGAAAACACATTATGTTATATTCTTTTTTTCTCACGAGATATTGCGAGAAGATGTGGCAGTTTAACGAGGATATGAAAGACTTGGTAATTTAGTCTATACTGGCGATTTCTTGGCAAACAATAATGCTTAAATCGTAAATAACTGGGGGATATTGCTTTGCATGAAAACGCCTGACAGTAGCTCACTGATTTTGTAGATAAAAATGATAATCTATGGTCGTTTGTACTGATCTACTGCCAAATTTAATTACCGAAAGTGTGAATGAATAAAATACATCTTTTTTACACACGAAAAAAAAAATCTATACTAATGGAAGCGTGCTGTGAGATTAAGTCTCCCTTTATGTTATTTATGCATTTTTAATTGTTGTTAGGAATGCCTTTTTTATCGTTTTGATTTCAATTTGTCTGTTGCGCTTCCAGACGTTTATGTTTCACGCGTTAGTGTTGCGTTTGAAATACGTACTTTCTTACCCTTTACCATGTTCTAAACAAAAGTGATAAGCATGTGCCATCTGAATAGGGCAAGGCCAGCTACCCACTGCCGTGCAGTCTGACCTGGCTATTGACTGTTTGCTAAATTATATGTTGATCTTAAATATCCAAAAATGTGATGATGAACAGTTAAAAACTTGCAGACCCTAAGGTATTAAAGTACATGCATGTATGAAAAAAATAATTTCACCTCTCTTTACCAATTCTTGAAAATTTGCAGAATTACTCTGAAGGAAGTCGGTTAAATTTAAAGCAGGGAAAAATAAGACCTTTCTTTACTTCATTACAACGTATCTGTCCCAGAAAAAAACATGGAAATATAAAAAAAATTCAAAGACAGATTAGACAAAAGCGAGATTGGAGACCTACCTTTTTGTATTTTGTTATTGTTGCTGTTGCTGCTTAAATTGATTCTTTTAAGTAAGAAATGCAAAGTTCTAAGTATTTATGGAACATTTTGCATTCTTCCAATATTCAGTCAGTTTCAATTATAAGCATGTAATGATTGTAACGCATTTTTGACCGATTCCACATTTCCTTTATCTGCCATTTACTTAAGGCAGCTTGGTTGCTAACTTTACATTCCAGCAACCTAAAGGTCACAGCAGTGTCCTTAGAAATTGATTATTTTTTAAATGCATTTCGGACCGTTATTTTCTATATTCGTCACATTCTTTATTTATTACTGTTCTGTTCTGTCTATCTATTTTTTGATTTGCTGCTAGGTTGTTCATATTTCGGCAGTCCAGAGCCACAGGCCCATCTATGTGTCTCTATTACACTAGCAATCATGTTGAGTTAAATAAAGAGTATTGATGATAAGGAAATCAATGAATTGCAGTTATGAAATGAAAAAATAAAAATGATATGAAGAGATAGGATTGTTTTATGACGAAATCTTCTGACGAATGTTACAAATAAGGCACTTAATTATAACAGATCAGAACAAATGAGCCGCGTCACGACAAAACCAACATAATGGGTTTGCGACCAGCATGGATCCAGACCAGCCTGCGCATCCGCGCAGTCTGATCAGGATCTATGCTGTTCGCTTACAAACCCTATAGCAAGTAGAGAAA